ACGAATTTTCAGACCTTTTTTAGAGCAGAAAAGGTCCTTTCATTGCAATGAATTTATTTTTGGACCGCTTTTAGAACTAAAAAGTTCCTTTTATTGAAAAGAAATGAATTTTCAGATCTCTTTTAAAGCTAAAAAGGTTTCTTTCAATGAAAAGGAATGATTTTTTAGAACTCTTTTAGAGCTGAAAAGGTTCCTTTCAATAAAAAGGAATAACTTTTCAGAACTCTTTTAGAGCTGAAAAGATTCCTTTCATTGAAAAGATACATTTTCAGATTTCATTTAGAACTGAAAATTTGTTTTTTCAATAAAGCTTTCAGATTCAGATCGGATCAGATTTGGATTTAAACTAATCCATCAGATCTGAATTTGAGATTCGATCCATCAGATTCAGATTAGATCTGAATTTCAACAGATCCGTTAGATTCAGATCAGATTCGGATCCTGAAAAATGAAAATCAGATCAGATCAGATTTGGATAAAATCTGATTTGATCTGATTTTGCAGAACACTAAGCAGGCTATATAAAGTTAAGCTATTAAATCATCTTACAGGATTTTACTAATCAAAATTGAGATTTTGATTTATATTATTATATAATATATAAATTTTATTTGGTTAAATTTTATAATCAATTATCTTATTAATAAAGCAAACAATTAGGCCATTAAAATTTCTCATTTTTTTTATGTAACATCAGTCAAAAAATCTAAATTTAGAATTTAAAAATAATCAACATAAATTTTAGAAATGATCAATATTATTATTTAAAAAGTTAAAAGTTTTGAATCTTAAAAATTCAAAATTAATATGATTAAATAAAAAGTATTTAATATCACAATAAATATATATATTTTTTTAAAAAAAATAATAAATATAAAAAATAATTTTTCTTTAAAAATTGAATTTTCTAATAAATTTATATAATAACGCCTATAGGATGATTTTAAATATCAAAATCTCAAGTGTTATAAAATGATTTTTAAGTATTACAAAAATTAGTTCTATTATAATAGCAAATTTAAAAATTATAAAATAATAATTTAATAATAAAATTTTAAATAAATTTTAATATTATCTTATTAATTAATTTGACTTAATATTTAAAAATAAAATAATTTATTATTGGTTGGAAATATTTACTATAGCATAGCATTTTTTAATCATCATTTACTCAAAATTAATTTCTTATTCCATAAGATGATTTTAATAACTTAGTCTTCATATGATATCAGAGATTGCTGTTATTTATGAAGTTAATTAAATAGTCATCACATGAGATTTGTTTATATCTAAAGTTATATCAATCCTAATTATCATTTTAGATATTCTAAGAATCCCACTTTTTTTGTAGGTAAAATAAAAAAGGAAATAAATGAAAAAAATAGTAGAGAAAAATGATAAAAATAATATTTTAACAAAAATACTATAGTTTAAATTAATAATACAATCAACTCTTGTTATAACGAACTCTATATCCTCGACCTCAACTTCGCTATAAGGTTATAGTGAAGATTTTAAGAGATTTGATTGGCTAATTTGCTATAATAAAAGTATTTTTATTATATTTGTTTAAAAAATTCATTATATCAAGAGTTCGCTATATCAAGAGTTGACTGTAGATTAATTTTTAGATAAGGGTATAGGAAATAAAAAGAGAAAGAAGTTTAAAAACAGAGTTTTTGTTTTTTATTCATAGGATAATCTATGATGCATACATTTTACATAAAAATTCTTAGAAAAAATCTAACAAAAAAGAATTTTATTTTTATATCTCAGATTATTTTTTTTAACGATATGATATTATTATAATTTTATTAAATATGTTATAAAAATTTAAATAAAATAAAGTAAAAAAACAATAAAAATAAAATATGACTATCTTTTGTGACTATATTATAAACCTATTTAGATTGACCAATCAGAAGAATTTTTCACAAGAAAAATCACTAAATCTATAAATAATGATTAAACTATCACTAAGAAATTTAAATAATACATTAGTATCAAGTTAAAAAATAGAATCAAGAGAAACTAAATTTGAGTGTCATAGATGAATATATCTTTCATTTAAGAGAGAGCTGAATCTTATATTAGGAATTCAAGTTTATTTTAATTTAACTTTTTTTTTTTTGAATGAACTGAAAATTCTCTATTTTTTTCTAGTTTAACTATCTTTACACATTGAGGAATTCAAATTATATTTTAAAATATAGAAATAAAAAAATTGGAGATTTTGATTAAAATATTTTGAATTGAATAGTGAAAATAGTTTTTTTTTAAAAATGTATAAATACAGATAGTAGAATTCCTTTAAACAAAAGAATGCATAAACTATAATTGCTACTCATACCTCATACTATAGAATTCTATCCTATCCTAAATCTCATACTATATTTAAAATCCTATATTCTATATCCTATATCCCAAATCTCAATTCCAAATCCCAAATCTCATTAAATTTATAATATATTTTTAAGTATATTTTAATCAATATTTTACTTAAAAAAATAAATTAATAATTATTTAAAACTACTCATAAAGATAAAGCTAATGAATTAAATATCATTAAATTATAATTATTAATTATGATGATATTGTTTGTTAAAGTTTAAGTTTAAGAAATGGGATTTGGGATAGGATAGGATTGGAACTTTATCTCATACCTATATAGTATAGGTAACAAGTATAATATGAGCTGAGATTTATTGAAGGATCTAAAAGATCTAGCAATTGTTTTTTAAAGAAGCTATATAAAGAGATACAATTATTATTCTTTTTCAGTTTATCTAAGATAATATTATCTAAAAAATTCCTTACATATTTGTAAATGGATAAAACAGTAGTTACAAGTGCTAAACAGTTCTCACTGGTTCAATAATGAGGTATCATATAGATATCAACCACCTAGAAATACCCCGATATATCTTACATTTTATTCAGATAACTTATTGAATGACAGATTTTTTATATTCCCGATAATTCTCTTAATTATGGCAGGAATAGTTAATAATAAGCTACATAAAATTAACATATTGGGTTATTAAATATTATACTAATATTATACTTTCATCAAAGTTCTGATACCCCAATAATACCTTGATTATTATTAAATGGTCATTAATTAAACATCATGCATTGATAAAGGAATTTTAGATAAGATGTCGTAATTCTGTAATATTATAGTACTTCAATGCCTCAATAATATATTTATGATTAATAAATTAATGTTTAAATATTTTACACAATATTCGTTATGGAATTTATAATATATTTTATATATTATTGTAATATTTTATTGTAATATCAAATTTATTCGCATTATATGTCACATATCGTACATATTTATTCCGCATATTAAATATATTTATTTATTATACACTAATTAAAATTCTATCTAATCATTTATGACTTTCGACTACCACTTCCTTCCCCTTGTTCCTCTCTCCCAACTAAACATGATATCGCCCATCTGGGAACTTTGGGTGGTGGTCTTGTATCGTCTTTAAATGCATTATCGTCATACCATTGTTTTTTTTGAACTTTTATACGTTATATATTTTCATCAACTTTATCTGCATGTTGAAGAAGTTTTTTAACCTATAATACAACAAATAAAGTGCTATAAATAAAAATAAATAAATATCCAAAATATATGTCGTATACCTTTTAAGATCTCTACGGCTTATCGTATACATGGATCACATGCATATCCGATCATTTTTATTTTTTGGATGAATATCTTGGGTGATCTCCTCCTGTGCCTTTTCATCATCTGTTTCAGATATTTCATCTGAATGGAACAGCCCTTCATCAACTATTTTCTCAATATCCTTTTTATACTGATTTCGTGTACAGACCTAAGACGTACTTCCGATAGAATCGGATCGTTAGTATTATATATATGCTCGATTCCGCGCTTTCGTCTTTCTTTTTTCTTAAAGAAATTAAAATAATTAAAGCAGTAATAATAAATATAAAGATCTATCAATAATCTGATATATCCATTGATACTTACATCAGAACGTCTCGAATTTGTGCCTTTTCATTTTTTATCAAATTTTAACCTATCGACACTTTGAGAAATCTGCCAGGATTCTCTTCTGTGTTAATGTAATTGTTGTAAGACATATTTAAGTTCAACCTGATTATACCTGATTCTTTGGTTTATTGTCCTATCGATAGCTGGCATTATGTTCTTATAGACATGACGTTAAATTTCATTCCATGGCTTCGTATGGTCGAATAACAACGAGTCGTCAAGACCAGAGAGGATTTGGACAACTGCATCCTAAATTTATAAAATTATTAATGGTAAAAAATCATTAGTTCTAGCTTATTTAAATCCAGATCAAAATTACTTATCATATACCCTAAAAGACTTATATTGTTCATCAGTCATATCCTCGAGCACTTTACGTAATTTTAGATATCTTCTATGTGATTCTGGAGAGTATTCTTCATATGATTCCAGAGAGTGCTCTCTACGTGATTCTAGAGAATATTTTCGAACTTCTGATCGTTGCCTTTTTAGATCTTGGACTTCTTCAATCAAATAATTTAATGTCGATTAGATTGAACTAATCATTATTGTAAAATAATTAATTAATAAAAATAGAATTTGATTTTATTGTTTAATATATTCGATTAATTGATTACCATTTCTTTCTAAATCTGTCTAATACTCTTATTGGGACTTCTTTCAATACTTCTTACATTACTGTTATCTCTTTCGAGAGTTTTATTGCTGAAGTTATGTCAATACTATCACTCGAATTTTACTTGAACTTCTTTCAATACTTCTTACGTTTCTGTTATCTCTTTCGAGAGTTTTTGTTGCCGGAGTTATGTCAATACTATCACTCGAACTTTTACTTGAACTTCTTTCGTTCCTATTGCTTCTTTCTCTATTATTTACGGTTATGTCTCTAAAACTTCTGCCATAACGTTCGTAACTTTATTCCAGATACTTGGACTTCTTTCACGTATGTCATTTCTGGGACTTCGACTTTCACTAGTAGTTCTTTCAACCTTTCTTTTGGATGTGCTTCGCCTAGTGCTTTTTTTGTTGCTTTTACGATAACTTCGATGATCATTATGCTCACGAGACCTTGAACGTCTTCTAGAAGTTGAAGCGATCCTAAAGGGTTTTTGACCACGCATAGTATTGAAAAGGTAAAGTATTGATAAAAAGAATAAGTGAATTAGAATTAAAATCTAAAAATGAAAGAAAAAAAAATAATTAGAATTAAAATCAATCAGGAAAAAGTCATTCTTTTATATCAAAAAAAAATCTGTCTTATGCGATCTTTTACCTTTCTTTAATTTGTAAGCTTAATCATGATCTAATATTTCTGCGCCAAATTGAAATAATTACTACGCTCAATATTAAAATTAGTCGTAATTAATGACATTGATTGATTTCATCTTTAATGGTCAGTATTTTAAGTATCATATATTTAAGTTGGACTGGGTCCAATATTTTAAGTATCAGTTATAATTAAGTTGTTAATATTTTTTTTTTGCTTTATAATTGCTATCGTTTCTTCTTCAAAATTATATGTAAAAATAAATTTTCAAAGTTGTAAATAAGTCTATCGTGAAAAGAAACAATAAACATATGGAGAAAAATTTAAATTTTATAGGCCTATATAGATCCTTTATATATACTTTCTATACTTATATAATATCATTAATAATTATTATTGTATCGTTTATTATATCGGTTAATAATTACTATTGCTTAAATTACGTAATGTCGAGTAGTTAGCCATAAAATAATTAGCCATATGTGGAATTCCATAAGATGTTAGCGGTTAAACCAGATTCAGGTGATCGACAATCAAGAATACAGCTATTTCGAACAATCACTAAACGTTAAACTTTATTATATTGATTTTAAGGTTTTATGAGAGATTTTTTCGAACAATACATATCATTATACTTTTAACATTAAACTTTATTACATTAATTTTATACTTTAATATATAACGTATCTGGATTTTTTTAAAAAATTTCTTATTAAATTTTTCTTTTTCAACACGATATCTTTATTATGACGCGCAAATCAAAAAAAATCTTTTGTAAAAACAAATAAGACCGCATCCGCATACTGAGAAGATTTTTCAAAACATCATAAATATACTAAAATAGGAAGTATAAGTAATACAAGAAAACATGTGCTGTGCCATTGTAATATATGTAAAGGTCGTAAAGTTGATCCACGTACAAGAAAATTACATACGAAAGAAAAGGAATTTGAATTAAAAGGATTTGTTGAATCTTCTAGAATAGCATCACCTTCTGGAATGACAGAAGATATTTTAGGTGATCATATGAATACAGACGTAGATATTGTAAATGATGATCTTGTCAGCCAAGAATTTAATTTTCTTGTTACAGATCCAAAATCATCCGATGATCCTGCCAGTGACCAAGAATTTAATTTTTTTATTACGAGCTCAAAATCATCTAAAAGAAAGCAAAAACAATTAGATGGTCATATTAGTTTTCTAACGGCTATAATCGAACAGCTTCTTGATGATAATCATGATATTAACGAATCTAATATTGATGAATATGATATTGATAAAGGTAGTGAAGAAGAAGAATATAGTGATGATAATGAAAATAAAGTTGAACCAGTCAATTTTGATGCGCCAGAATCTGGTTATTAAGATAAAGGTGCAGAAATACCATTTACGAACATTGATCAGGGATTCGCGTAAATCGTGTATTGGATTTTTAAATATCAAGAGAGATATCGGCTATTTGATACTGCTACTAATTTTCTTATAAAGTTTATGAGATATCTATTGCTCTTGGTTAATAGAAATATCTATTCAGAATTTCCAAAATCTTTACATATGGCATGGAAATTATTTATCAGCGATCACATGATCAAGTACACAACTTGTAAAAAATGCTGTAAAATATATGCGGTAAAAGATTTGACAACTGATAAACCATACTATTGTACATTCAAGGACTTCCTGAATCATCCAATGACCAAGTTGAGATCTCTATGTAATAATATTATTACAAAGCAAGTAGTATAAAAAAGGACTTTTTGGCACAAAAAGCCCGAATGCCTTCAGAAGGTCATCTTGGATATTACAAATTTCTTATATCGTATTTCACATATCAAATTCATAATGAAATATTACTTGAAAGCCTAAGATCAC